ATTTTTAGTTGTCCCGATCATTTCTTTCTATTTTTTAGTAGAGACGGGGTCTCGCTCTTGCTGAGGCTGGTCTCGAACTCCTGACCTTGAGGGATCCACCCGCCTCGGCCTCCCAGAGTGCTAGGATTACAGGCGTGAGCCACCGCACCCGGTCCCAGTTTTACATTCTTGACATTCCGGAAGCATCCCTAGGGTGACTGCCCTCTCTCCACGCCCCCCCAGCCTCAGCCAAGCTTGGCTCCAGCTCTACCTCACTCCAGGCTGGCCCGAGGCCACCCGCAGGACCCTTACATGTGAAGATGGGGCACTCGATCAGCTGCACCAGCTTGTCCACTTCTGTGAGGAAGTCCACAGTGACCTCCAGGTCCCCGCTGGGTGGGCAGTCAAGGAAAGTCTGACCCCTGGGCCAGCACAGCCACCGCCGCAGAGCTGGGGCCAGGCCGGCCACACCTTGCTAGCAGGTGGTAGAGGCTGGAGCCCGGGGCTTGGCCCGGAGCACCATGTGGCCTCCACGCCGGTCCTTGGTTTCCTGTGCCCAGGGCCTGGGTCTCGAAAAGTGGGATTTGGTATACAGAGGACATGAGCCCGTCCTCCTCCCTGCCTTTCTGCTCTCTACATGGAACCCCCCTGCACAGGTGCTCAGGTTCGGGGCCTGCAGCTGTCTTGTCTACACCCTCTGCACTCAGCCCCGCAGCCTGTCGGGAGGGCTGGGCAGGAAAGGCTCCTGCTCCCAGCAGGGCCACGTCAGGGGTGTAGCAAGTGTGCTGGGCGGTGGGCCTGCCAGTCTTTGGGTGACTCTAGTGGCCCAGAGGAGCAGATCTGGGTCGTGGAAGGAGAGCAGGCGCCCTGACGGGGGCCAGGCAAGCCAAGGCCCAGCCCTCCACGGAGGCCCCTCACAGCCTTCTAAACAGGGCTCCAATCCAGAGTCGCATGTCAGGCACTCACGGAGGAGGCGGTCTGCTTCTTGGTGCCTTTCGAAGGGGCAAGAGCTGAGGTGTATGTGGGCCCTTCCCCTCCCGAGACCCCCCGATCCAGCCTGCTTCTCCCCACTGTGTCCTTTGCCGAGCCGGCCGGCTCTGGCTCTGCGGCGCCTCAAGGCTCAGTCCTGAGCTCGAGCCTGCAGGCCTCGCCCGTGTCTGCCCAGGGCCCCCTCCCCTGCCCTGCCCCACGCTGGGCCTGGCGAAAAGGTGGCGGCAGGAACTGCAGCGAGCAGAGAGCACCCGCCTCTTCCCTGGGGCAGGAGCTGGGCTCACCCTCACCCGGTGGCCGGGCACCACCCGCCAGCACCCTCAGGCTGGGCCTGCTCAGCCCGGACCCCAACACCCTGGTTTCTCCAGGGCCGGTCCCCCTCCAGGAGGCCCCAGGAGTCCCATGTGCTGCCAGTGGTGCTCTCCCAAATACAACCCCTGCAGCACCCTGGCCAGGCGGCCCTGATGTCACAGCCCTGGGGGCCAGGCAGAGGGTGGGGTGGAAGGATGGCTGCCAGGCCCCCCCCGCTGGGTGCGGAGGGGTCACCCGTCCCCCTCCCGCCTCTCAGCAGCCCACTCGAACAACAGTGAGGGGAAGGATACAACTTCTGGATGAGGTCGTAGGCATGCTGGTAGTTCTGGGTGAGGAAGCAGAGGGACACCGTGGTGACCGGGTTGTGGCACCAGGAGCGGTATAGGCAGCAGAACAGGTTCTGGCTCTCCTGAGGGGAGAGGTGCGAGCACTTAGGAGAGCCCTGCTCTGTCCCTGCCTGGTCCTTGCAGGGGGACCGAAGAGGGAAGGGCCACAGGGGCCGGGAGCCAGCTCCGCACCCCCAGCCGTGTTTGGCAGCCCAGCTGGGAACGAGCTGTCACAAAGGAAACGCTGACAGTTCCTCCTCAGACCCTGTCATTACCTCCTGGTCCCACAGAGCCAGACGGTGGTGAGGGCCTGGCGGGGAGTGAACCTCTCCTTTGTGCTGGCGAGACTGCCCTCGGCAAAATAACAGTAATCGTGTGCCCCAGAACCCTGCGGCAGGGCCGGGGCCGGGAGGGCCAGGGAGTGCGGGTGGGAGGAAGCTTCCTCAGGGGCCAGGCTCTCCTGAACGGTGTCCTCCTCTCTGTCCTCAAACGCCACCTCCTCCCTGCTGCAGGCCAGCCCAGGAGCTGAGCCCACACTTTGGGGAGCCCCTGCCCCTGAGGAAAATTCTTAAGGCCTCTGCGAATGTCTGGAAGGAACCACAGGAGGAAGGCAGGGCTGTGGCCTGGATCAGTCTCAGACACGGGCTGGGACGTCCTCGGGACTCCCGGGGAGGGTGTGGAGCAGGGTCTGCAGGGTCTGCTGGGCAGGGGCTGTGGGGGACGAAGTCCCGTGGTAGCCCGCCACCCCTCTGCCCTGCATCTCTCCTCAAGTCGTGCAGGGTGGTGAGTGTCTGCCTGCTCTCTCTGACCAACCCTCAGCGTGTCCTCACCCAAAGCCTGGGACGGGCAGCAACATGACACCCTGGCTTACGACAGGTGCCTTACAAGACAGATGTGTCCAGCTGTGGGAGAGAAGGGCAAGGAGAATAACTAACCTCCGAGTCCCAGGCCAGGTTACAATCCAGAGGCCTGACCCCGAGAGGGGGGTGACCCCCAGTGGGGTGGGCCCAGAGCCAGCAGAGCCCTGTTTGTGAGGGGGCAGTGCCTGGGTGGGGCTGGGTGTTGAGGGGCGGCAAAGGCAGGGCCGTTGGCAGGTCAGGCAGGGCACGTGGCCCTGGAGAGAGCACAGAGCCTTCTGCGGGCAGAGACCTCGACAGGGGTCAGGGCCGACACGGCGTACCAGAGTCTTCAGGTCCTTGAGCTGGTTTCGCAGCTGGAAGAGCTCGGTGGAGGTGAGCAGGATGGTGTTGAGGGCGTGGACCATGGTGGACGCGAACTTGAGGTCCTCCTCCCGCAGCAGGATGTCGGCCATCGAGTGGAAGATGTTCTCTGCGTTGAGCAGGAGGCAGAGCTGCCTGGAAAGCAGGCGAGTGGGGTCAGGCTCAGGGCGCTCTGCGAACCTCTGCGCCTCAACGTGGGGAGCCTCCTCTGGGGTTTTGAGCATTCCGGGGAAACCTGCTCCTTCTGGCAGTCCAGTGTGGAACCCCGACTCTGAGGCCTGTGGGGGCTGCGCTGGGCCTGGCTCCCCGGGCTATAGTTACCCGTCCCACTCCCACCGACAGAAACAGCTGGGCCCCTGGCTACCAGTGATGGACAGGGCCCCTGCGTCACGTCACCGTCCTGAGCTCCCACCTGTGTCAGCAATGGCCCCCCAGGCCATGGCACTCCCGCCCCTGCTGGGCTGTAGCGATCACTTCCCCACCATTGCTCACCTGTTTACTGTCCCCCCACGTCCTCAGGAAAGCTCCTGAGGTCAGGGTCCGGGGCAGCCCCGCCTGGGCATGCCTGCAGGTAGCAGGGGCCCAGGGGGTACTTGTGGGATGGACCCCCCGAGGTCCCTGGGTTTTCCCTTCACTGTGTAGATAGACGATGACACTCGGGGGCAGGGAGGAGAAGCGACTTGACCAAGGTCGCAGGATTACCTGGGCCGGAGCCTGGCTCCACTGCCCCCTGGGCCACGACTCTTCCCACTGTCTCTCCTCTAGTAAGTCTTGGAGGGGACAAGGATCCGACTTTGTGAAAAGCCATGTGACGGTCTCCATGTTATAAAAAAGGGAAATGGGACCCAGAGAATGAGGAAAAGTGGTTTTTCCAGGGTCCCTGGGGCAACGTGGTGTCAGCAGTGACAAGTGGGTCTCGAGGACAGGCTCTGAGGAAGCCTCCAACCGCCTCGCTTCGCCACGTGCCCTCAAAGGCTTGGCCTTCAGGGGACGAGCATCCAAAGGCCACCTGGGCAGTGGCTTCCCAGCTGGGCTGGGGCAGGACTTCCTGTCAGGAGTCTCAGGGATCTGGAAGCTTCTTGCAAACAAAGAAGGAAGCAGGTAGGGGCCGGATAAGAAGGGACGAGTGGCTGGTGAGAGGGTGGCATGTGCGTGGCGCTTCCTGACTGATGGGGGCTGGTGCCAGCAGGGCGCCGCTGCCTTCACAGCCTCCTGTCTGGGGCTGATGTCCCGCCTGACTCCTCGTCTCTGCTGCAGGGGAGCATTGCCGCAGACCAGACAAGGGGTCTGAGGCCTCGAGGTCCCCTGTGCTGGGCAACATGAGTCACGTTTTGAGGCAACATGCCTGACACATGTCCACTTCCTACCAGGCACTGACCTTGCGCTAAACTTGGCGTTATCAGGGCCTCACTTCCTGCCTGCCTCTGAATATCAGCCACGGCTTTTGGGCCAGGCTAGAGAAGATTCCTCCCCAGCCCTGGCCCCGGAAAAATCCCAGGGCATTTGGTAATGGAGAGGCCAAACCACGAAGCGCAAACAGTGGGCAGGCCGTCTCCAGCCCAGCCCTGGCTGGAACCAGCAGGCTCGGGCGACAAACCCTGGGAGAAATCGAAACAGCGCCGAGGCGGGGCGGGGGGCGGTGTGCGGGGAGGGCGGTGGTGGACGCACAAACACAGGGTCACTTCACCTCCGCCAGCGCCTGGCGGCTCCCTGCAGTCAGGTGGGGGGCAAATGCCTCGGGGCCTGGGGTCCCCAACTACGAGCTGCGTGATCTCAAGGTCTCTGCACAGGAATTTCTGCACTTCCTGATTGGGGGCAATCCCTCCAGTAAGATGGGAGAAGTACCCCGAGGACAGTGTTGAAGACTAGAGACGACGCATGTGAGGGGCCCAGTGTCCGGTACATGGACCACCCGGCCCACGGGAGGGAAGCCCACGGGAGGGAAGCCTGGCTAGGCTGCCTCAAGCCAAAGGCCGGGAGGTGGTGGCTCTGCTGAACTCAGACAGGGCTTCCCGTCCCTTCCTGGTCCTCCCACCCTGGGATGAGCCCTGTCTCCAGGGCCGTGGGACAGAAATGTTCCAGAAGGGCAGGCGAGGGAGGAAGGGGAGCGTTCTGACAAATGGTCACAAGTGCCCGTCGCCTGCAGCTGCTGCCGTCTCCATGACAGAGGCCAACAGCTGAGCCGCTGCCAGGCAGCGCTCTCCAGGGATCACAGGCCGGGCCAGCGCCGTGGGGACCTGCGGCAGCCGGAGGGTGGGGGCGGTGCTCACGTGAGGACAGCTGGGCAGGGTGCGGAGGGACAGGCACAGGCATGGGGCTGGCAACGAGGAGGGGCGCGTGCCAAGGCCTCCTGGCGTCCCAGAGAACCTGGGGAACGCGGACGGTGCTATGGAAGGTCAGGGATGGTAGAGTTTTCTGGATCACTCTTTTCTTCTGCCTCCAGCAACAAGACCCTCTCCTGGGTTTCCTCCCACCTCGCCGCTGTGCCTCCTCCCCTAACGCTGGGGTGGCCCTTCTGCTCTTCTCTCTCTAGTCTGTATTCCTCGGTGGTCTCTGGCCCCACAGACGTGTTCAAAGCTGTCTCTAGATCAGTGACTCCCACATGTGCTCTTCTGCCCTGAGCCCCTCCTGGGCTCTGGATGGGACAGCTGCCTTTCAAACCAAAGTTTGGGGGCAATCCCTACTGACGCCCGCTTAGGTGTCCCTGTAGACCTGCCACCTAGCCGCCCCCCAATCTCAGTAAATGGCATCCCTGCCCACCCAGCTGCTCAAGCCCAAAACAAAAAGCTGTCCCTGACACCCAGCCCTGTGTCAGCGCTGGCAGGCCCGGGGGCTGCACCTTCAGGGCACGTCCTGACTTGGACACCCCACCCTGTCGCAGCCCCACTGAGTGGGAGAACATCTATACCTCTGCCTCATCAGTCTCAAGACCTCTCCTGGTCTGTCCCCTGCTGCTTCTCTCACCCCTACGGTTCACCCTCCTGCACCCACTGGGCAATCCTAAAATGTGCCTACTCCCCTGCTTGGGACTTGGTGATGGCTTCCTGCTGGATCTAAAATAAAGCCCAGCCCCTCACTATGGCCTGCAAGATCGTACACCCTCTGGTAGGTTCCCCTCCAGCCTCAGCTCTTACTGACCCTCCTTCACTCACAACGTTCTCACCTCTCGGGCTTTCCCGACCTGGCCCAGCCTGCGCGGTCCCAGGGGCTTAGCCTGCTCTGCCCTGGCCTGGCCAGCTCTGCCTCGCTGGGCATCTGCCTCCCGGGCATTGAGGCCTCAGCTCCAACTTCAGGTCCTGGCGAGGCCTGGGTCTGAAGTGCACGCCCTGCTAAGAACAAGTCCCACGCCTGTGCAGGCATCCGCCCCTACCTGACACCATCTTATGATGTGCTTGTTTACTGGCTTCCGGTCTGTCTGTCTCTCCTGCCAGAATGAGAGCTGCAAAGGGCAGGGCCTTGGCTGTGATTCTTGTTACCCACCCCCCAAGCCAAGGCGAGGGCTGGCACTGAGCAGCTGCTCAGTTCTCACTGCTGGGCATTGCTGTGAAGGATCGAAGGTCTCCCGGACAAGCTGCAGACCTGCCGGACCCCACTCCGCCCATCCCTGGCAGGTCGGTGCAAGCTGCGCATACTCTGGTCTGCAGAAAGCAGCCGCTCTGATGTTGCATTTTTACCCACCTCACCCACGGGGCCAAGTACAGGCCTGGCTGCCCTGCCCAGACTCCCCTGCTCTCTCCCCTCTACCGCGGGAGCCCAGGAGGCCAGCTCATCTCTGGGGACTCGGAGCGTGTGCCTGCACGACAGCCCGAAGGCTCGGCAACAACACATGGCACCGGGCTTCCTCCCCAGGAGTCTCCCCTGAGCGCTGCTAATTAAAACACTGCAGGAGTGGACGGGAGGGGAGGGGAGGGGAGAAGCTAGGAGCAGGCACCCACGGAGAGCAGCGGCTGGGGCCCTCCACGCTCTGGATGCTTCTGCTAGTCCTGCCCAGGAGGCCACTGGATGGAGCCTGGAGGGGCTGCTCTGCGGCCGGCGGCTCACGGGGCTCAACCAAGGAAGGGGGGCGAGGTGGGGGTTGCGTCCTGCCATACCCCGAGGTCACCCTAGGTTTGGGAAGAAGGAAAGCACCTCCCAGCCTGCTGGGTCACGATGCCGCAAGAAGACAGCAATAGCGTCTCACAGGGCCCCTCACTGGATGCCAGGCACCGGGCTGAGGCCGTCACACCCACCCGCCTGGATCCGGCCAGCGTGGTGGGGAAGAACAGCGGCTCCCTCTCAGAGGGCTCTCGGGTGCAAGGCACCGTCCCAGGCAGCCGGGGGGACGGAGAGTGGGAGTAGGTCAGCTCGGCCACACCGTAGAGAGCTCTGGAATCTCAGCAGGATGCTGATACCTCCTCCCGACTCAAGGGGGTGGGGGGAAGAGGGCCCACTTTCACTTCAATCCCAGGTCCATGACAGGATCTGCACAGGTGGCCTCAGGGTTACCACGTGCCTGGCACCGGGCTCTGAGCTCCTCCTGCGGCTTCCTGCGGCGTCCTCACATAACCTGGGCAGGGTGTATGATTATCACCCCTATGCAGAGAAGAGGACTCTGAGGTTCAGAGAGGACCCACACTGCCAATCACATAACTGACCAGGGGAGGAGGACGGAAGATTCAGACCCAGAAGAGTCGACTTCTAGAACCCGAGTTCCTCCTCACCACTCTGCCTCCCCGGTGCCCGTTGTGAGCAGGCACCCTCCCCGGCGGAGGGCTGGCAGATGGCTGCCTCGCAGGGCTGCTGCGTCATCACTTCTCTGTTGAGCCCCAGCCTGGCTTGAACTGCCTGCCTGGCTCTCAAGCAGCGTCAACAACGGAACGCAGCTTGCGGCACCGCACGTTCGCCCTTACTTTCCAACGCCCATGCGGAAGCGCTGCTCATCCCGAGACTGCGGCCCGGCAAGTGCGTGGGCTGGGAGGAGCCCTGAGTCTGGGACGCGCCGGGAACCCCCGCACCGTGCCCGGGGCTGGCGGAGGCAGGTCCATACACCAGTGTGCGGGGCTGGTGAGAGGCCGGCGGGGAGGGCCACATGACCACTCAGGGATGGCTGCTCGCTTGGTGGCAGTGAAGCTATTGGCTCCAGCTGGGGCTCTGCC